GTGAGACAACCAGATTAGTGGTGGCTAGACTAACAAGACTGGATAGTGAGACAACCAGATTAGTGGTGGCTAGACTAACGAGGCTGGATAGTGAGACAACCTGATAAGTGAGGGCTAGACTAACGAGACTGGATAGTGAGACAACCAGATTAGTGGTGGCTAGACTAACAAGACTGGAAAGTGAGACAACCTGATTAGTGGTGGCTAGACTAGCGAGGCTGGATAGTGAGACAACCTGATAAGTGAGGGCTAGACTAACGAGACTGGATAGTGAGACAACCAGATTAGGGGTGGCTAGACTAACAAGACTGGAAAGTGAGACATCCTGATTAGTGGTGGCTAGACTAGCGAGGCTGGATAGTGAGACAACCTGATAAGTGAGGGCTAGACTAACGAGACTGGATAGTGAGACAACCTGATTAATGGTGGCTAGACTAACGAGGCTGGATAGTGAGACAACCTGATAAGTGGTGGCTAGACTAACAAGACTCGATAGTGAGATAACCTGATTAGTCGTGGCTAGACTAACGAGACTTGATAGTGGGACAACCTGATTAATGGCGGCTAGACTAGCGAGACTGGATACTGAGACAACCTGATTAGTGGTGTCTAGCCTACGAGACTCGTAGTGAGATAACCTGATTAGTCGGGGCTAGACTAACGAGACTTGATAGTGGGACAACCTGATTAGTGGTGGCTAAACTAACGAGACTGGATAATGAGACAACCTTATTAGTGGTGGCTGGACTAGCGAGACTGGATAGTGAAACCATATGATAAGTGGTGGCTAGACTAACGAGGCTGGGTAGTGAGACAACCTGTTAAGTGAAACAACCAGATCAGTGATGGATAGACTAACGAGACTGAATAGTGAGACAACCTGATTAGTGGTTGCTAGACTAACAAGGCTGGATAGTGAGACAACCTGATTAGTGGTGGCTAGACTAACCAGACTCGATAGTGAGATAACCTGATTAGTCGTGGCTAGACTAACGAGGCTGGATAGTGAGACAACCTGATTAGTGGTGGCTAGCCTACGAGACTCGTAGTGAGATAACCTGATTAGTCGTGGCTAGACTAACGAGGCTGGGTAGTGAGACAACCTGTTAAGTGAAACAACCAGATTAGTGGTGGCTGAATTTTAACTTTATGGTGACAAACTGTATCCCCCGCCCCATTTATTAGTCCACTTGAATTATATTCAGTATTTTATACACACAATTCTGACAAATAATTTGATATAAAAGTCCGTTGAAATCATCACCCACCTTACAGGTCTCATTGTTCCCCTCTTCCCAGGTAAAAATTCGAAATAAGCTGCCAGTAATCATGTCCTTTCCGCACCAGGTACCTCCATAACACCCGTGTTCAGTGTAGAAGTCATACACACAACTGTGACGAGATCAAGTTAGATATTGTTACTTTAGAGAACAATACATGCTAAGATTATGCCATAACATTGACAGTTTTCAGTAAACAAATGTGTACAGTACAACCGACTGTAAATCATATAGATCTATGTAACAATTTCTGGTTATAACTCGCTATAAACGGGGTTTTGCCGCGAGTCGTCGTGAAGTTATTCAGCCTGAACGCTCTGGAGATTTCTATCTTCTATCAAAACGTCCTTAAAACTACTGAACCTTTTAAAATAAGAATCGGGTTACAAGAATAGATAATGAACCGACATTCTTTCTAGCGTGAGTACGATACCGTTTTAGTTTGTTGAATAATTACAATTTAACGCATGGTTGGATTTCTCGGTGCTGCAAAAAAGGGTAATTTTGAATTGTGTCAAATTCACGATAGAGGTGTTTTAAATTGTTTTAACTCGTATACATTATACATATGTCCTTTGTCATGTCTGTTCCATATCATTACCACAGATATTACAACCTAGATCTGATAAACTTGATACATAGTTGTAGCTTACCGACGTGTAATTGTAACTTCTTGACAGTTTATTAGTTTGATTTACTTGTGCCTTTTGTCCGAGGCCTGTCATTTAAAAAGATCGCTGTCCCACTGCATTGTGTGTTCCCCTATTGTTCACTAATATTACCTTAACTTCCGTTTCGATACATATAGCATAATTGGGCCAGGACACTTCAGTTGACCAGGTAGCACATTTGGTTAGAGCGACATTAACAATTCTGTCCCTGCAGATAGAGCGTAAGAATTGTACCTGCTGCCCCCATTGCATGATCGTAAGAGGCGACTAAATTTGGGATCTTTTCTTTTTACTTCTTTCTAAACAACTTGCTTCTTCCTAATGTCTCCCTTAACAATGCCTCACTTTTGGCCTTTAGTTGAGCGTTCGCCCATTAGGGGAAGGCTTTGGGTTCTGTACCCTGACCGAGACATACCAGAGTCTGTAAAAATGGTAGTTTCTACTCCTGATTAACGCTCAGCAATTTAGGAGTGGGACGACTGTTTCGCCCTTTGTCAGTATAATGTGATCGGGTGGGGTGTCCTGCTGGGTGTTTTCGGCAGTATGTTTCAGTGAGGTAGCACTATAAAGTCGGCATCAAACACGAACATATCGTAGCCTCCCAAAAAACACACGCGTTCACTACAAGCATGCATCTTGCACACCGGGGAGGCCGTCCTTAAATGACCATAGCTGTTGATAGATCTAGCACGTTAAACAATACTTAACCAAACCAAACCAGTAACATTGTAAATCTTAAAAGAAAGTCCATAGTACGAATCCTGGTCTACTCCAGCTGGAGATTTATTTTATTTTTCAATCAGAACACTGTTGTTGATTATTTTTATTTAATTTCATCTCTTTGTTTTTCATAAAAGTATTGAGGGTTTAAATTGTGTGATGACACAAGACCAGTACCGTACTGTATCAAATGTTTAGACAAGGAGCTAGGAACCCGAATATGAAATACTCACAAAATCGGCTGACACCATGTGGTTCTGTCCCTCTTGCAAAGTAACTGTTGAAAAGGAAATGTGTACTGATATTTAGATTCAACAGAAATACGATGAAATCATGGAGAAAATCACGGCGAAGTACGAAGAGCGTCTGCTATCCTTCGAGCGTATTGTACTCACAATATAACAGTGATTTGTATAAAGGAACAAACCTAAGAGGATAGTACAGCTAGAAAGTGACCGATGAAGAGGAAATGCAAGGCTTACTCGCAGCATGCAAGTTACAATTACAGTACGAAGGCCAAGGTTATTTGACTCCATAACCACGAGGAAATCCAAAACCAAGAGCTTTCCTTCTATCCTTTGTAACTTCAGTCTATTCTTCAAAACCATAAGTGGACTGAAAAACAAGGTAAGTTATAAGGACATCCGTGTTAAGTAACGATCTAACGAAAATGGAAAGAGAAGAGGAAAAGTGTTTGAGAGAGGAGGCAAACGTATAAGAAAGTCGGCATTTATCGAGTACGGGGGCCGCCGTTGAATCGGAAAATAGTACGACTGTTGGCCAAACAGAATCAACAGAGGAGTTGAATGATGAATATGGAAAACACGTTTCAGAATACTAGAACAGAAACAAAGGGAAATGCAAAATATTGGTCAAATTAGGAACAGCTATCGGAGGGGTAGTTGAGGATTTCCCGAAAAACTCGAGGTACACAATGAACAAATTGGAGCTAAATATACAGGGTTTTGGTGTATTCCATGGAGAGATAATCCAGGAAATTAGAGAAAGGGAAATACTCGTTTCATTTCATTTCAACAAATTTTATTCATGATGTTGTATGAATTGGGTCGAACAACAGGCTATACCTATATCAGTTCTCTCCTGCATGCATTTGTATAAATCAGCATATAAATTATTATAACTTTTAGTTAAATGAAAAATTGAAAAAACACACAACTATATATACAAAACAGATATCAATGTGCAAGTCATGTGTTAAAGGGGAGATAACTAAAACTGCTTATGAAAGGTCACAATTCAAGCTCTGCTACTTCTTGACCTCACCAGAGTAATGAGTGAGTTTTAGACATATTCCTTGACTATATAGATTCTCCCTGGGAGTTCAAAATCCAATTATAGATAGCTGAATATTAGGCTTATATAATTAAATATCATGAATAATCTATGTCAATATTGTATGGTATATTGATATTCACATTATAATACGTTAAGAATATAATTATACAACTACTTGTTATTAATTACAAAATATGAACAAATACTTGTTTATACAGCGCAACATATTAGAGCTACGGCAATAACTATTAACGAGATATTAAACCAACAGTCAGGGATCCCGGATAAAGGAAGTATGTTACGGTCGGCTGATTTTGACAGTTTTTCAGTTTTAAAAATTCAGATTTTGTATCTGGAATGTTTCTCGATTCCTGACAGAACTACTCATGATGTGGTGGTTCATAAAGTATATATATATAAAAGCAATATATATGCAAGACCACACACTTGTGTTTTTCTAACGAATAAGAAAGTATGTATTCACAAGTGTGTGGTCTTGCATCTATATTGCTTTTATAAATATACACTTTTCTCTCATTTCCCTGTGTGTAAGATAGAGCTGTCCAGGATAAGAAAGGGGTGTAGGAAGTTTCTTTCTCTTACCCTGGACAGGGATATCCATCATTTTACCGGTGTGAGATTTTCTTACCTCACCCAAGGGTTGAGACAAGCTACACGTGTTCTTTGCACGTTCTCAACAATTGTATGACGTCATAGCAACAATACCATGACATCACGACAACAATGCAATGACGACACGTCGACAATTCAGTCGCATCACATCAACATTGTCTTGCATTGATGTAACGTCTGTATGAAATACATTAGAGAGTAAACGGTAGGAGAACAATAATCATTCACACCCTTGGGAGTGAGACAGGGTGATCTCAACCCTCGGGGTAAGATTCGTAAGCTGTCAAACAGTCGGCAAGCCTCGTGTTTGACAACTTAAGAATCTTACCCCTCGGGTTGTGATTACCCTGTCTCAACCCCAAGGGGGTGAACGATTTTATTTATCTTACACCCCATTTCAAGTGACGTGATGCACGCGCAATGGCTCAACAATGACGTGACGTCAATAATTTAGAGCTCTCCGATGCCGCAAGGCGGAAAAGGCGACGTGATGATAGTAAAATCCTTTACGATATATTTACCGTACACGTTAGAAAAATGTGATTAGTTTTTCAGCGCAAACACTGTATGCAAATTTGGAATATGCTTACTCTGGCTGGCTGATTCGTTTTCGTCTAAAAGGCTCAGGGGGGATTGGTATTTTAAAACATCACCTCTCGGGTTGGAGATTTCTCTGTCACACCCTCAGGGTAGGGGGAAGATTCTATATTTAAAAAAAAACTCGGGTGGAATTCCCTTTTGGAGGCCCAATTTATAGCGGTACATTCAACGTTTCTATCAAAAACACTGCTTCTCCCGCATTAAAGAAAGGCCGAGAGTTATTTGGACAACTTGGCGGGAAAACCGCTCAACGCGGTGGCGAAAATGATGATACACAGAGAGTAGTTCGTCATTGTTTTAGTGATAATTCATTTCTTATGTAGGTTTCTATAAATTTATTGCTCTAAAGACAATAAATTTGTTACGTACTTGTAACGAATTGTAATAAATCATAATATTTCCCCCATATACGCCCCATTTGATATCGTAAACAAAACACACATGTCAATCTTTTTATTGTGGTAGAAACAGGTCACACAAAATCGGGGTTGTTGTATATGGTATTTCTTTCACTCTCGTTAGTTATTTTTCAAACGTTACAAAAAACACTCGCTGAAGCTCGATTTTTTTTTTGTAACTGGCTGATTCGTTTTCGTCTAAAAGGCTCGGGAGGGGGGATTGGTATTTTCAAAATGGCAGCCTGTCCAAACGCATTTTCATTGTTTCTAGCTTATTCTGCTGAATGGAATGAGAGAAAAATTCTCTTTCATGCCAAAAGATGTAGGATGAAAGAAACTCGAGTGAAAGAAAGACCATATACAACAACCACTTGTTGTGTAACACCCCTGGGCATGAAAGAGTCTTATATTATATTACCCAGTTATAAGGACCAGAAATCAACATTTAATCATGCTTATAATCAACCACTTCAAAATCCTCCACAATTTCGTCGACGTACGCCGGTTTTACTGGTTTTCTGATGTTTACTTTGAAGTCATCGTGTATCCTTAAAATGTTCTTTAAAAAAAAACTATTCAGTGGAAACGCTGATAAATATCTCTTTTGTTATACTATTAGAGGAAAATACTAAAATTTTATTTTAAAGTACTATTCGAACCATTTTCTGACCGTGTATCAATTTCGGTAGTGTACTATTCCGTCTTTGCGTATTGCAGAGTTATCTTCTCTTGAGAGCAGGTATTGATTGTTACGTCATTGGTTCGTGTGAGAAAATTACGTCGTTTTCTCAAAAATTGATGACGTTACTCTCACATACAAATGACGTAACAATCAGTACCTGCTCACAAGAGAAGATAACTCTGCAATACGCAAAGACGGAATAATCTAGAGCTATGTAAGTTACTAGCTGGGACAGATCTTCCTGGATATCGAGGATGGGGACAGATACATACCAGAACTTTTCACACTTAAATATAATAGGCGATTTTAATCTATAAAAACATAGATTGGAACAGATGGATTCTGTCCAAGGGATCAACACAGTTGGAAGACAAATTTCTCGAGTCCGCATCAGGGATTCATTCCTGTTTCAACATATCGGCGAACCTACCAGAATTAGAGGCGGAAACGAACCTAGTATATTGGATTTGGTATTTACACATGAACAAGATATGATACGCAAGCTGAAAGTAAAAAGTGGGCCAAGAACTTTTGGAATTATGGGGGTTCCAAAACTAAAAGAAAAACCGGATTTCCGGTTTACGCATCAAGAAGTCCAAACTGATCAAGAAAAAAAATGTATTAGCGGGTTTCTTGTCAAGCGTATTTACAGTCCAAACACAAAATGATATAATACCTGTCCTACAAGATAACAGTATATCAAATCCATTCACTAGCACCAGAATAACTGAAAAAGAGGTACTAGATACTTTGAAAATCTTAAATCCGTCAAAATCTCCGGGACAGGACGATATTCGTCCTATAGTATTAAAGGAATCAGCAGATGTAATGAAAACACCTTAATGTAGAATTTTCAACAGTTCGCTTGAAAGTGGAGAACTTCCGGATAGCTGGAAAAAGAGGCAGATAACAGCAATTCACAAAAAGGGCGACAAGAAAGAACCAAGGAACTATAGACCAGTAAGTCTCATGTATTCCGTCTTTGCGTATTGCAGAGTTATCTTCTCTTGTGAGCAGCTATTGATTGTTACGTCATTGGTTTGTGTGAGAAAATTACGTCGTTTTCTCAAAAATTGATGACGTTACTCTCACAAACAAATTGACGTTACAATCAATACCTGCTCACAAGTGCAGATAACTCTGCAATACGAAAAGACGGAATATAGCGCTCGGGAGACCACATCTGGAATACGGAGCTAGCATATGGAATCCATACCTACAAAAGGACATTGACGAAATTGAAAATGTACAAAGGGGAGCCACAACACAGATACAAGGCATGAATCAAGACAGATGAAGGATTATAAAATCACCAACTTTGAAACATAGAAGATTACGATAAGATATGGTACAGGCTTTTAATACTAGGACACTTGTGTAACGAAAGGCTTTTAAAAAAAATATAAAAATGACAGTAAATGAACAAAAGGTCATAGTCTCCGACTTAAAAAAGGATTGTCTAAATTGAACATAAGAAAGTTACTCATTTAAAGAAAGAGTGGTCAACCATTGGATTTCCCTGCCAAATCACGTCGTCACATCACCAACAATAAGCACTGGGGATAGCCAGAATGTTTTATAATTATAATTGTATTATTATAAGGTAAGGATATAGAGGCACCCGCTGTCTGCCTCCATTACCTTTTCCTATTAAATTCCTAAATAATCAGGATATATAGGTCTTTGTCTACGTCCAGTATTATCATATTTAAAGGTTTTCGTACAGGGTCAGAGGTCAGAGTAGCAGCTAGGTGAAGTATACAGTGACGTACCTTAACTCTTCTAAGTTACGCCATTTTCTGATTGCAAATCATATGTCAGTAGATTTTGTATAGATTTGTTACATGTTTCCAATGCAAATATTTGCAAATATATTTTTATCGGTGTACAACATATGATATACATATTATCATATCACATCTCAAATATATTAGATAAAATTACACCATCCCGAGATCGGCTTATGAGAAACTATAAAATAATTATATGGACGTCAGACAGCAATAATAAGCTATTAAGACAATTAATTTTCGTTATAGGAAGATTTTAACATTTCAATATTACAATGGCCCTTTCCATAACGCATTTACATATTTATCAAAACCTGTAAATATAGATTATTTAAAGCAAATATGTAACATATGGCCTGTTCGTTTATGCGGAGCGGCCGGTTTGTTTGTTTTTATGTGTTACATTTCCGGACATAGATGTAGGTTTTGGCGGACCTGTGCATGTTTATGCACGCCTTGTAAGGCTTTGTCAATGTTCGTCTTAAAGCAGCATCAGATAACTAGGTCAAACCGGATCAACCGTTCGGATCGCGATAGACCTGAAAAAGATCCAGGTAGTTCAGTTGTTCCCGAGTTCGAATCCCGGTCTAGCCATGCATTTTCCCTCTCCTGATACAATGGTGCCGTTGACCAACCCTTGCTTCAAGCACTGGGTGAATGCTTGACAAGGGGATACGCGAATCTGGGTTGTTAATAGGTGTCTTCAAAGGCGATGACTTAGAAAAGGGAGGGAGAAATATAGAAATATTTCGCAGAATTTAGTGAACTTCGCTTATTTTTAAGAAATGTAGTGTAAATTTCGAACGTTATGCTTTCTTTCCGAGGAGTAGTTTTTGTGTCAATAAGACTTAATAGATAAAATTATGTCCTTTAAAGCAATCTGAATAAATACAGCTGTTTATTATTACGTACCGTTAACAGCCGCAGTTATTTTTATCATCATCTGATTTTAATTAGATTGCCTTTAAAGTAGACAAATTGCAGAGAGGGAAGAAGCAAATGCAAGAGAGAACGTGCAAGTAGTGTCAACATACCTCCAACTTACGTTGTGCAAGTCAGTTTCCAATTCTTTTCATTCTCTTTTCTGAAATAATTTGTCGTTAGTTCGGAAAAAACCCAACTTATTCGTCAATGAAAACGAATTCTTCTAATAACAAGTTTAGAAAGGCAACACCGACGTTGAAATGGACCCGTACATCACGTGACCGGCGTACGATACTCGGCACAATACATCGACACTGATATAGAGCATGCGTGCTCAGCATGGTTGATGGTTTCCTGTATACCAGGAAGTAAACATATTTCCTTTATTGAGAACAGTGATGAATGTAAGTGCACATTTCCTTTTCATATTTATAAATGTTATTGGGTTGAGATACATATGCTGGTTATTATGGAAGCTCATTCGTACCTTTGTATAACTTAAAATCTCATCATTTCGCGTTAAAAAATGAAATAATAAAAACAGAAATTAATAGCACAAGTAAGCCTATCATTTCATCGCTTCTCTCAGTTGTTGAAGTCAAAACAAAACTGCAACGAACCGCCTTTTAATTTAAGTGCAGTTATACCTTGAAATAAAATCCCCTTGTTTCATTTAGCACCGCGTTTACCGCCAACATTTTCTCAATATCCCTTTTTCTTGTTTTATTAACAAATCCTTGCTGCATTTCCCTCGATTTATCGACAACCCTCTTTATAACGCCAAACGTCATCTGTACAATGTTGGCAGTAAGTTTTACTGTAGTCTGTTTGCATATAGCCTGAAATATCGTGAATAAAAGGTCTCTCGTTAATGTTATCAGATTTTGTTAAATGAATCAATCTGATTGATTGTAAATATGTAAATTAATGACCACTAATTACAGACTGTAGACAGTCCTCGATATCCAGGGGCTACGCTCACTTTCGCTCTCTGCACCCCTGGAATATGTCATAGCAAAATCGAAGGCTCAGTGTTCACAACCTTGCAGATGAGACAATAAGACCTGTTTGATCCTTTGATATACATCCAAATAATCTCGCGGTCGCGTAACCATAACATTGACGTGCTTCGATGTTGGGTGTCGCTCCTATGTTATCAAAGGACATGTATCAGCCTAGCGATTGGTCAGGATTTTTCACCTGAGACTAATCAAATAGCTAGCCGCGTGCCTTCCATGTTGCTATGAAATATTCAGTGGTGCAGAGAGCGAACTTGAGCGTAACGGATCTTATCACACGAAACGATGTCCCTCATCACACTCCACAGTTAGTACGAGTAAGTTTCAAACGTATTTCACAAAGATTAATTCAATTATATACAACTGTTGACAGCATTTCCATTGAATGTTTTGAGTGCTAAGAGCGACAGTGAAGAGTCGCTAGATTGTTCGATTTCCACAGTAAAGTTGGATTGTGTCTAATGACAGTGAAACTCTACCCACGATTACACGTTATGACTGAAAAGTTGTTATTATTTGGAGATGAAAATCTCTCTCCTGCAGAACATTATGAACTGTTCATCTGTGTACAACAATTTATCATAGCTACAAAACGTTTTGATGATATATCTTTTACATCTCTTAATTATCTAACCGCACGTATACACGAGTTGATTTTGAAAAGGTTTTATTATACATAATTTGTTAGTCTGACGTGTTTAAATATGAATTAGTATATGTATTCTGCTTCTGAAACAACTTCATGATATTATTTGTAAATTTGAAGTGCTTAAATATGAATTAGGATTTGTTTTTGTTTTTGAAAATCCTTCGTGATATTTTGATATAGTATCAGTAATTCTTCAACCTTTTGTTTCTAACANCCCCCCCCCCCCCCACACCCACACACACACACACACCCACACCCATGCACACCCACCCACACGCGCACACACACACACACACACACACTCGACAACCCTTGGGTTTTACCCAATTTGACAAATTTCCCTTCATAAAAGAGTCATGATTTTTCTCTCATTCCAATCATAAGCCCAGAAATCACAAAAGGCGTCGCAATTTCAACATCGCGGGATTGCAATGTTCCTAATTTCGTGACGTAAGTTCATTGAAGTCGTATTGTGACATCATGCACGTGAACTGGGGTGTTATATAGATCCAATGTAAAGCACCCAATTTTCTTAAAACATACGTCACTCTTCTGAACCTGAAAACTGCTAAGTCATTGAAGCGTGAAAAGTAGATCAAATACGGCATTTTCAACATGAATTCAGTAGAGCAACCCCAGCTGCATTATTGATGCTAATACACTCTATGTAGCATCAATAGATTCCAAGATAACGAATGCGCAGTTATTCTTAACCTGTAACGGACGGACACATGGAACCCATTTCAATATCCCCTTAGGAGGCACGTTAGTCTAGTGGTAGGACGCTTGGCTCGTGACCGATGGTTGCGGGTTCGAGTCATGTCACGGCACTGTGTTGTACCTTTGAGCAAGATACTTTACTCCGCTTGTTCCAGTCTACACAGTTGTGAATGTTGTTGAATGCTAGTTGTGAGCACCGAAATGGCAGCACCGGCTGCATGCTCCCCAGGGAGTTGAGAAAGATACTGGCTGGTTACAAAGGCCCTATAACCACGGATAATAATTTGTGAACCGCTTTGAGACGACCTACGAACTAGGTTGTGATAAAGCGGTATATAAGAACCTCGAATTATCATTATTATTATTATTAGCAAACTGGAAAGTCTTTTTTTCGAGAATATTCATGCAAAGTACCATCACCTAGGTCTACTTGATTTTTTCAAACGAAGTTGTTAAAAAGTTTAGACAAATATAACCTTTGTGAACTTGAAAGTGGGTCAAGGTCATTCATTTGAACACACTTGATAGTTTTGTATCCCAGCACACTACTGGGCACATGTTTCCACCAAGGTTATTAGATCATACTGAAAAGGTTGTTTAATGTTAATACATTTGACATTTGATATTTAGGCCTCTTGCTTATACAGACGTTTTGCAACTGTTTTAAAACATTTAACCCCTGTGACCTTGAACATGGATCAAGGTTAAGACACATGTGACATGATAGTCCTCTATCGTGCGTCTGGCAAAAATCTACAACCTTATTCATCTGGGTTGTGTCAGAAGAAGTTATCAAACAATTTTAGCACAATTTATCACTATGGCCTTGAAATTGGGTCAAGGTTATATATATTTGGAAATCAGCATTATTGGTTTTTAAAAAAAAAATCAATTTAGAAGTTTAACAGATTGCTATAACGTGTGCACATATATTGTTATTTCGTGCACAGACATTATCAAAATTGCGCGCACAGATGGATGCTTTATACCATGTCCCTTCGAGGGGTTCCGTAGAATTTTCATCAGTAGAAGTTCTGAGAGTTTTTCAATTCCAGTCACAAACAATGGTAATTATACAATCGGCTACAAACTATGGCGACTTTTGCATTATTTTAATGTTTTAGTTGGTACATTTATAAGGCAGTGTTATAGTGTAAATTGATATCGACCCAGGTTCGTTGGAACTGTTAATACCTGCGGATACATAGGTGGTTTTTTTATATATATTTTCATATTTCTTTTCTTCCTTAGCATACAAGAACGTGTTTTATTTTTAAACCAAAAATGTCAATTCCCATCCGAGGCGAGCAGGTAAGCTCGTGTACTTATAACTCTGTGTCTGTCTGCCTGTCTGTCTGTCTGAGTATGTCTCTCTCTCTCCGTCTCTCTGTCTCTCTCTTTTTCAATCAAAGCCACTGTAAATAAATATGTAATATGCCATCTTGAAATTTTGTACCAATATATTGTAGGGAAAGGGCTTAATATAAGTTGTTAAAGTTGTGTCAAACTCCCATTGTATATAAATAACTATAAACTATGTTTAAAACTAGCAAATCGCTATAAATAAAGTCATATCTTTTCTGATACCGTTTTTGTGTCTTTTCATACCCCACCCCCACCCCCACCCCCAATCTCCCTTACGATAGCCTTTTGAGTGCATGCTCTGATTCAACTTGATTTGCTTTTATCTAAATTCAAACGTGAACAAACGCATCTCATCAGACTTATATATCATGCCGCACATTAGGTCGTTGTATAGCTCTTATCGCCGGATTTCCCAGGTCATGACCTGACAACGCTAGCCCCTACACCATATCTGTATGTCCAGCATGAGATGTATATTTTCGGTGTCTAGCCGATTTTTTAAGGTTGTTAGTTGACTAAATAGCCCATGAAGTGTCACATCTAACTTGCTTCAATCGTAAATCATTATTTGGGTATACTTTAACATGATCATCAGATTACATATTATCTTCACATAGCAAAAATGTTGGTGATCGACGACTTAACAGGCATAGACTTACAATTTTGCGAAGGGGATTGGGATTTCTAGGGGCGTAGCCATTTTAAGGAAAGGGGAGGGTCGAGGTAGGGGCGGGGGGAGGAGGAGGAGGAACGAAGCCCGAAGCTGTTGAAATACAAGTAAATGAATATATATATAACGTATTTTATATAATTTGAATGTGTTTATTCTCACTCGTGAAATATAATATATATATATAAACATGTTTACATAAATACAATTTCAGGTGAGAACAATTTATTACATGTATATATATACAGCGATAAATAGTTTTAAATGTCCATATGACGGTAAAAATATAAATAAAACAAAACACGAAGACTAGTATTATCGGCATATATATATATACATATTTCGATCACTGGGCAAATATTAGGGGAAGGGGTCACATAGCACATTTTATAAGAACAAGCTACTCGTGCCCACGTTCTGTTATAGATAATTATATAAAGTACTTACTTACCTTGTACCGGATCAGGAATAGTTAAGAAACAACATCACGTGTGTGCTTATTTAAATAAGTAGCACTGTAATTTAGTTCATCCTAATCAAGCTGGTGTCTAAGTCCGCGTCTTGTTACCTGACCCTTGATCAAGGCGGTGACTAGGTAACCACGCTATTGATAGGCCAGTGTTTAGGCTACTTCATATCTCAGGTCGAGATAAAGTCAATGTGTGCTAAATAAGGATTTATTAAAAAAATACGGAACAAATATGAAAACAACGAGGTCAGTATATATTTTTTTATATCATTAAGTTTTTCATTCGATCAGCATTTGGAAAAATATGAGTTGGTTGATATGCACTGGTCATATGTAAGATTGTTTCGTCCCTATCTGGGTCACATTGACCCGAGAATGTATTACAGTCGTATTTGGACCAAA